ACACTATGGGTCGGACCTTTTGGGGTCGTATCTTCGTCAACATTGTGGTTCCGGACCCGGGAGTTGGGGGCCTAAGTCTTCTTGGCTCGGGGACTCGGGGGCTCTCGGGGACCGGCGGTCTGGAACCCAAAGTTGGTTCCGAGGAAAATCCCCGAGGCACTATGCCACAACCGCCCCATGCTGAACAACGTACGCCGAAAGTCCTCCCGAGGTGTCCGAAATTCAGCAACCGGGATAGTGCCCTCGGACCTCACCCTTTAACAAGCTGGCATTCCTCAGAAATTCAGCAACCGGGATAGTGCCCTCGGACCTCACCCTTTAACAAGCTGGCATTCCTCGGTCTGGACCCATCTTTACTCTCCAGACCAGTACTCTTCAGCTTCGGGACTTGGAACTCGGGAACAGTTATACTGGTATTCCTCGGTTGCAAGCGTTAGCAACCGGTACTCATCAGTTCATCCCCGGGAGATCCCGGGTAGTACTGGTATTCATCGGTCACGGTTCCGCAACCGGTACTCGTCAGGTTTTCGCTGCTGGGCCTCTGGGTCGCTACCGGTCGTAGATCGGTATCCGTCAATCTCCGAGTTGTACTTCGGCATCGCCCCTTGCGACACACTTCCGCCGGGTCCCAGGTCTCCTCACCGACTCGGGCCGGCGCACTTCGTAATTTTCCTTCAACCACTCAAGCACCTTCGTCATGACCCAAAGCGTGCCATCGACCCCGACCCCCTCTGTCCCGGGGACTCCGGCTGCAAGAAGCAACCCGCCACTGCCTGCTGCCTCCCGGAGCCTACTTCTCGGCTCGGTTCCCGATACCGCGAACGCTCAGATAGAAGAGGCTCGTGCGTTAGTTGAGCTGAGCAACGGGTCCGGAGGCATGCTGCCACCCCTCTCAGAGGCAGAGCGGCGCCTCCGTGACTCTCTCCTACGACATCAATACCCACTGACTGCGGGGTCTATTGCTCAGCTGTGGAGATCGTCTCCCGACAATATGCTGGACCCCAAGTGGATGAGAGCTTGGCGTTTCATCCCTCAAAAATTTCGCTCCCCACGGGTGACACCGCTGAAGTGGACCTGGCGACTACCCTAGGACCAGTGACGCTTGCTCCCCCTTTTGCCTACCTCCCAACATAGGTGGAGGACGTGCGGATCGTTGCGTCTGGAAATCCCGAGGGCCTGCAGATGCGTGACATCGGGGATTTAGTTCACGTGGCTACCCGGATCCCTTCCCTCTCGGCTGCTCAGCCTGATGCGCTCTCACGGTTGGTTGTTGGAGACAACCGCACCGCTACGGACATCCTCGCCCCGATGCACCTCCAAGGTGCCCCCGCGGCAGTGACTCCCGGCCAGCGCGCACAGGCGGCGGAGCTTCAAGCTGGTCCACTTATCGACGCGTTTGGGGATTCAGGTTTCGGTCGTCGGGTTTTGAACACTTTGAACGCGCTCCGCCTCGTGCTGGACCACCTTGTGACGCTGGAGCCTCTCCAGAATCTCGCTGCCGCTGCGGATCCAGGGAGTGCCATGGCCAACGCTCTACTGACGACGGCTTTACACCGTGCTCAGGAGCGGCAGGCTGAGAGTCATCGGGAATGGGAGGTCGCGTTGCGTGAAGTGGAGGCGCCCACGACTGCGGCTCTTCAGGCTGTCGTAGCTCGGACCCGGATTGCCCTAAGTCATGAGCACCAGGGTTGGGTTCAGGCCGAGGAGCGTCTCGAGAGAATGGGAATGGCCTACTCGGACTCGGAGCGTTCCCTGACTGAGACCCGAGCGGAGATGGTGAAACTCCAAGGTTCTCTCGACTCAGTGTCTTCGGAATGTCAAGGGGCTCGGGTCGAGCGAGATGTGACTCGGGGTGAGCGGGACGAAGCTCTGGAGGAGCTGGCTGAAGCTCAGGACGAGCTAGCGGGGGATCGAGCGGAAATCGCCGCGCGGCCTCCAGCTCCCCCCAGCAACGCGGTCCCGAAGGCTGAGCGCGACGCGGAAGTCTCCCGACTTCGGAGCTCGTTGCGCGCGTCTCAGATCGCTCTTGACACCTCCAACGAGTGATGGACTGTTTCCGGTCCCTGTGCGACCCACAGGCTTTGGTAGGCTACATCGTCTCGATGGATTTGAACGATGATGCTGCAACCTTCCATGAACATGTGCAGGCCTACTTCCAGCGTCGCACTCCTCTCCCGTATTCGGTCTCTCTGTTCGTGGGAAGAAACAGTGCTCCTATTTCCGTCCCCATGCCTGCGTCCGGGGGATCCAGGGTCTGCAAGTGGAGGTGGTTCTGGGGGTGGCCAAGCCGGCTCTGGGACGCCGTCTTCGGCTCCTGCACCTTCGGGATCCGGGTCCGTCCCTTCGCCCCACTCCGGTGGTTCAGCTCCTGGCCCGACTCCTTCGTCGTCGGGACTCCGGGGTCTGGTGACTCCGGTACTTCGCTGTCTGGAGCAGCTAAGTCGGAAAAGACTTCCGTTCCTCCACCTCCGCCTCCTTCGGTGCCGGGACGGCCTTCCACGCCTCACAACTACCCGGCCAAGACCCCGAAGCACATTCGGTTCGATGATCTTCCTGACAACGAGGGCGATGTGCCCGAAAGCCTTCCCCAAGAGGCTACCCAAGACGACCACGAGATGGGTAGCGGGAATGCTGAGACTGACGACGACCAGGGAGAGGACCTCGGGAATGAGGGTGACGATGCTGATGTGGAAATTCTCTCCGAAAGTGGCTCCCAACCCCTCTTGCGCTTGTCGCCCGATGGCCAGCGCCAGGTCCGACCTAGAGTGTACACCCCCCAAACCGACCCCAAGGGACTCTTCTACCGGGTCATGGATGACGACGCCGAGCCTCCGCGTTCGGATGTAGACCTAAACAAACTGCTCCCAGCCGACGCCGAGCTCTCGGACGTACGTCCCGACGTACTCGAGCACTGGCGCATGGATTCAGACAAGTGTACTCTGACTGAGGCAAAAAAACGTGATCCTAGGGGAGACCGCGGAGGACATTGTGGTTCACGCGAGCCTTCGGCGTGATGTCCTCTGTGCGATCATCCGGCGTCTCCTATGTCTTCGGAGCCTGGATGAGGTCGACTGGCTTATGCATGTCTCCGAAGAATACTTCGAGCGGGCCTACAAGCGCGCTGAGGACTCTAACTGGGTGATCGGTGTGGAGCACCCCTGGCCACCCGTCCCTACCGAGCCACGCGAGCCTTCGGAGTCGTCGGATGACGATGCTCATGGAAGGGGAAGCTCGGCCAACGTCGAAGGCCGGAAGCTCAAAGATACGAGCTTCGGGGGGGGGACGGTCCAGCTCCTACTACTCCTCCACGCGGCAAACGACCTCGCCGTACTGGGGGCCAAGGCCGAGGAGACTCGAGGGCAGCCCGCCAGATGGTCCACCTCCCGGAGGTGCCTTCAGATGTTTCTTCGAACGAGTCCGACCTCCCAGTACGTCACCGTAGACTTATTCCACCTCCTAATGCCACCCCGACTTCAGTCACTCAGACACAGCAGACGCTATCTCGTGGCTTGTGAATGACGTCCAAGTGCACCAAGCCAGCCAGTCCGGGAAACACCAGATTCGAGGTTTCCCGGACTATGACGTGGTGCCTACTTCCGCGGCGGAGGTGAAGAGTCGTTTGGTGATCTCCGACTACCTCGACCTCGTGGATGGCACCGCTCCCGGAGAGGACGCCCCCTGGGACACCGTTTTCCAAAATCGCCACGTGGTATTCTGGTTTGCCTGTCGGGAGGTTACTGAGGAGCACCCTGCAGGGTTCAGCGACGACTTCCTGGTCGTTGCTTCGGAGCATGTGCTGGTGACGTTCAACTTCCGTCGTGCGCAGTGGGAACGCGACCACTGGGTGGTGTTGGACCGTACTGACGAAGCTCAGAAGAAGGTGTACTCGGAGAGGGCTACGCGGCAAAGGAGTTGGTACAAGGCGTTGCTGAAGCTTCGCGCTAAGGTGGCCCTACTCCCGGCGAGGGAGCCCAAGTGGTTTCGCTGCGAACCCGGACTCTGGCGTCGACCGCGGTTGCCGGTCACGTGGGTCCCTTTGCCGCGCGGGGATAATACTCCTTCGCTCCGTGACCAGCTCCAGAATCTGGACCGTCGTGAGCCTCCCGCGTTCATTCGGGTCTCCCGGCGCGGTGTCGCGCTTGTCGGAGAGCGAGTCCCAAGTACTTGAGGAATCAGGGTTATCGACCAAATGATCGCATCTTCATCCCCATCCCTGATGCGCTGCCGGTCGAGTTCGTCAACTAGGTATCCATTCTCCACGCGCGGGGTTTGAGTCGTTCTAGTATACTTTGTGAGCTCACTCCATCTTGGCCTTGTTCGTTTTCGCTTTGTTGTCTTCGAGTTCCCAAGTCTTCCTTTTAATAACATGCAGGTATTATGCACTTATGCAATCAGTTGTGCCCCAAAGAGTGTTCTCGTCAGGGGGTACAAGGCTTCTGGGGGACACTCCGGAGCTACTGTAGTGGGCTCCGGGTCCACACCCCAGGGCTCTACCGGACTTCTTCGTCCAGGAGCTCGTCTCCAGACTGTATGGTCTGGAAACGCGCGCGGGCTCGCACTCCTTGGTCAAACTCGTAGAGCAGCCTCCCGCAATTGAGGCATTCTTGGGGAATCCAATCTGGAGCCTCGTAGCCTTTCCATTTTACTAGGTATTCCTTGACGCGCCGGCTGGTGCGGGTCCGGGTGACCCAGCGCACGTCCAGTATCACTTCAACCTCGTATTCCCCGTAACCTTCATCAGGACCCCAACTATCTTCACGGAGCAACGCAGCGTCGAAGTCGTCGTCCTCGGGGATGTCTATGGTTCCCAAAGGCCGCTCCGGGTATTTGGCTCGGGGCTTCAGCCTGCTAACGTGGACCCAGGGGTTAAACCGGTATTCCGTACCCTCAAAGAGGAGGCGGTATCGGAAATCGCTATCTTTTTCCCGGATCCGGAACGGGCCGTGCCAGGGATGTGCGAGCTTCTTGGTGAGTCCAGGACGGATTCGGGCTAGGTACAACCAAACCGAGATCCCGACCTCGAAACCCTCCTTGAGTCGATCTGTGAGTTGCTTTCACGTGCGGTTATGGTCCTCGGCTCGGCGCTTCTTGGCTTTTTTCTTGGAGGTCCTGGGCCCAGGCTCTCGCGTATTCCACCTGGCGTTGCACCTTTGTGCGCTATTCCTGGGCGTCCCGAAGCTGCACGTCTCGGGAAACGTCTCCCATCATGGCTTCGACAGTACCTTGGGCGTCCCAACCGTGCACCAAGTAAAATGGCGTGTCGAGTCGGGTGAAGTCGAAAGAGGTGTTCAGCGCCCACATGAGCTTTTCGGGTAACTCGTCCCAGTCACTCTGATCCACAGTTTGGACGTACGCTTTACCACTGCGGATCACCGTTTTCATGGACCTCTCTTGCCTGCTCCCGAGCATCTCTCGGAAGGGCTTGAACACCCGACCCATGAAGCGCGGGTCTCGGTCGTGACGGATCATCTCACTGGCTCAGAACCTCCGGAACACGCACTCTTCGTAGGCTTCGGACACATCTTGGGTTTCGGTGCTCGCCATGGCCTTGCACATGATGAACCCCAAGAATACGCACTGGAACAGGAGCAGCGCCGTATTTCCCCGGGCAGACCGAGGTAACGGTATGACAAAGTCCATGGAGACGACTTGGAACGGTCGCGTAGCCAGCAGGTTACCGGACGATGGGCCCGGGTTCCGGGGTAGTCCCTTATGACGCGCTGTGATTGGAGGAAAATTCTCAGCCACTCATTTCGACT